AATGCATATTTTTTAAAAGGAAATCCATAGGTTCGAGAGAGAAAGACTTTGGGGTGGGGAGGAAAGAAGTTTATAAAAAAAAAGAAAAAAGAAAAAGGAACCAACCCTCTTGCGTCGACACTGAGGTAGAACGAGAAACACTTATACCAGCCTGCCCAAATGTCGGGTTCGGTTGTATTAAGCAGAAGTGACATTGATGTTGCCCCCATCTGTATTGCGTAAGCCTACAACTTGACTTCATGCTTTTTACATTTCTCCTTTCCAACATCTGCTCTATTCGGATTTGTTGTTTTCGTGTTAACGTGAAAGAAGAAGTTTACTTTCGTGTTGAAGTTGCGGGATTGTTGGGTATGTAGTGTTAGACATTAAGATTAGTTGAACAGTGGTGTTAGCTGTCGAGTTGAACAGTGGTGTTAGCTGTCGAGTTGAACAGTGATGTTAGCTGTCGAGTTGAACAGTGATGTTAGCTGTCGAGTTGAACTAGAGCTGTTGGAATCAATACATCTTAAGCTTTACAGAACTAGAAATATTCGTTGTCGTGTCGTTAGGACTATAGTATTTCGTAAGAAAGGTCACCTGTTGAATTCGAGGTTTGTTTTTCATTATAGGGTCTGTTGTTTGACTCGACAAGAACTGTTTGATGTCGAGTGATGAAATATGGGGTTTGGATACAGTGAAGTATGTAGCGTTACTTCACCAGAAAGCTGTTGAATCTTTTTAACGTAATTTCAAACCACGCAAATAGTACCGCCACTACCAAGTTGTCCTCGATGATTCGATACCAACTCTTGTTTGCACTGATTAGCGACATAGATATATCTAATTTTGACAATAGGTTCAGCTGATAAATTCACACGTCTACCGTTGGACGAAGGAACATCGACCTTTATCTGTTATTTCTATCGACCGGGCTGTGAAAAATATCTCGGGGCGATATAAGATGTGTTTAGCTCATCGACGGGGTCTACTTAGTTACGTAACTGTTCAAATCAAATTGCAAATAAAACAGATTTCTTTCAATTCCATAGTTCGAAGGAATTAAAGTAGATTTAGATTAACGATTATTTTAAGTTTAAACACTCATACGGGTAATCGTAGACACATGTCTAGAGACAAGTTTGGTACTTTAATTAACCAATTCACCCCTGAAATTTCATAAGAAACTATTCCAACCTTTGAATTGGAAGAGTTCAAATGTGTCTGCAGGGGTCAATGCGTTTAGGTATTTATCCGGGCTTATGTCAGTGTGTGGACGTGTTATGGGAGGAAGGAAGCTGTTTGATAATCGTTTATCAGCAGCAATATAAAATATGACAATTGTCGAATGTTTATTGAAAATGTTGTAACCTTTTCTTCTGAAAAGTAACCTTTTATCATTTTCGTGTACATGAAACCTATATAGGGAAGAATTTTGCAAGCAGCTTATCATTTATTTCATCAGCCAATCCGTTTTAACACGATTTCCCATGGAAGGTATACACTCAGAGCAATACAGTTTAATGCTCTTTCTGAGGAAGTCATATCTACTTTCTGATTTCCAGATGTTCATGTATTCATATATTAACACCAGATGACAATTATAATGTTATCAATACGAAAGGTAGTGTTCCGTATGAGGATGTTCTTTACATTCCAATTTTTAAACTTTGTAGTACTGTCAACGAAACGAACAAATCATTGCACTCTTAATTGTATTTCTTCCCAATTCATCTAAAGCAAGATATATTGCAATAGCATAGGTTAAGAAAATAGAGGTGTTTTGGAGGTAAATGTTCAGGAAGAAAATATGTTCCCAACAATACACTTTCAATTTCAATTGATGACTGGTCTAAATCGGAATGTTTCAGTAGTTTTCGAACTCATATGCCAAAAGAACGAATTTGTTCGTTATTTCACTTGAACATGTATTTATGAAGTAGTCACAATGCCGACTGTAAAGCAGTTTTTTCCTGGATTTTATTTAAACTGGAAGGAGGCAAACTCTTGAGATTATAATTTTGTCCTGGTGGTTTATTACTACCGATTCTTCTTCAAATGTGGTCAGCAAAAATATTAAAATGACGTCATTTTTTGTATAATTTCTGACGCGCAGGGATGTCGTCAGTGGGAGAACCAATATACCTTAGGACGATAAGGAAACAGTCACTTCCACAAAGGTCATCACTCACGGTTCAATTACAGTCTAAAGGTTAAGATACTTACCAATGTCAGGTCAATATGTGTGATGCTGGATGGTCGTAAGTGAGGGATTTATTGTTGTATTCAATTAAACACATGTTTAATTATGGGATATAATTTGTGTGGTCCCTTCCATTGTTATCGGGGGATCCCCAAAGGCTGGTGTGGCCATTGTTATCGGGGGATCCCCTAAGGCTGGTGTGGCCATTGTTATCGGGGGATCCCCAAAGGCTGGTGTGGCCATTGAAGTCTCCAATAAGATTATTTGTAGCTGAGTTACAAGGTTACATGCTATTTTACAACAGGGGGAGATAATTTGAACAGATAGGAGTCTATGGAGTGAAACCAAGCTGCAGGCCCGTTCTTTGTTTTAAACTGATTTTGGACACACGATAGGATGAAAATAAACAATAATGGTTGACACCTAAGTTCACCATGAAGTGACCAGTCGATTGACCACTCGTCGTACTGAGAGTAAGCTGCTTTCCATTCACAAGCCCCCCCCCCCTTCCGCCTCAATCACCAGAATCACACAGGAAATCCGAGGCTTGACAACGAGTATTGGGTACAGCAGATTTATTCTCGCTCCTGTCTGCTGAGGTAATCTTATGTTGTTAGTACTATCTTATTCACTTTTTCAAAAAACACGTCTTATTAAATTCAAGAAAAAAGAACAAGACGCATAATATATTGTGCTACAAGTCTTATACATATAGACGCACGTCTTACTGATAATCAAAGACGCATGTCTTACACCAAGTACCTATAAGTATACGTTTGTGTGGGATAGTACTGAGATCGATTTGTCTCGATCGATCTGTCTACTGTTGTAGAGAACGTTGTCAGCGGCTGTTTTATACAGAGAAACATGGACATCTCCCATATCGATTGGATATGACTGTTTACAGCCATTAGTTAGGGGACAACAAACTAATGTCTGAAGGGACATACCTGTGCGCCAATTAGCTAATATGGCTGATGGTATTATCGTTCAATTACCGGGCGTCCACTTCCGGTGTGTGTCAATTGTCCACCAAGTATTGATGACAACAAACCCAATACAACGGAAAGTTGCATACAAAATCATGTGACACACGTTGTGTGTGCTCTACGTGTTCTCATCTCAATTGTATTGTGTTTTCGTGTAATTCGTTCATACAGCGTAATAGCTGTATCGGATAACACACAGTGTGTATTTAATATGTGACGTCACAGTTGTATGAATACCACAGAACAGTATGGGCGTATTTTTATTGTATGACGTCACATTCATATTGGATATAAATGTGTAGTCATTCTGTGACGTCACTAATGTATAGGACACCACATTAAGACTGATGTATGTGCTTACTCACTCGTGTTTCGTACGCCTATATAAGCCAGTGACTGTTAAATGATTTGAACCTGTGACATCACAATTATATCGGATACAGTCAGTTATATGTCTACTCTATGTGACGTCATAGTTATACGTGGAAACAAACAATGACTGTTGCATGCAAAGTGTTTGTGTGGCGTCAAAAATATATAGAAATACACGTGGTGAGGGTTGTATGTCTGTTTACCCTATGTCGCCACAGATGTATAGACTACCACACAGTGACCTGTGTACTCTGTGTGCCGGCAGAGTGGTGATATGGGGTACCAGCCAGTGACTGTTATCTGTATATACTCAGTACTCCTTTGTAATGGTATTCTCCCATACGTGATTAAAACATACCATGCTGTGATAGCTACTTGTATATGTGGTGTAAAATCTTTTACTAAATAGATCCAACCATAGACGTATATACTATAGAGATTGGAAACTGCCTCTTTCTCATATCGAAGCGCACCCGTGTCGGGTAGTCTATTTGGATGACATCGAGTTCATTGCAACGGCCTAGGATATCGTTAGAGGATTTCCGAAACGCAAATTAAGGCGGCCATTACTTGTCATCGAATATTTGTATGTTAAATTCAGATCTTTCTTAGAAGGCATTTTTCAACATAATCTAATTATCAATATTGTATACTGTTGTCCTTAATTTAGACGTCCAACTTAATACAGATATAGATGGTTATTAATTTAAGAAATCAATGGGTAAAGAACGCACATCGATTCAAGATTCAAGATTTTTTATTAGGCTCTGACACACAATGTGTGTAACAAGAGATCAAACAAAATAACATCAATCAAATAAAACATGACAGAGAGAGAGTAGATTACACATGGACAGATTTAGCATTATTTCATAGGTAGATTCAGCATTATTTCATAGGTAGATTCAGCATTATTTCATAGATTCAACAATATTTCATAGATAGATTCAGCAATATTTCATAGTTAGATTCAGCATTATTTCATGGTCAGATTCAGCATTATTCCTGAAGTATGATAAAGCAAGATTACACTCAGATATCATCATCATCATCATCATCATCATCATTATCATCTATCACCAAAGTAGCATCATCATCATCATCATCATCATCATCATCACCATCATCATCATCATCAAAGCAAACATTGTTTGATGTACATATGTATCAGATGTATTGTTACAAAGTATCATTATAACCAACACATGGACAGATTCAGCATCATTTCTTACATGTGAACCAGTCTTACATGTGAAACAGTAAGATTACAGAGACGTATATAACACATATGGCTTTTTATGTCTCTGATCTAACTCAGTGACGACTTTACCTGTATACTCGTTTAGAACACCACACAGACAAGTACAGTATACCACACAGTCAGTACGCCTTACTCCCCTTGTATACTTACAGCGTATAGTGTCCCTCTTAGTGGCCCTGTAGTACTGACTAATCACAACTAAGAACAGACGATGTGTCGTTTTACGCTCAAATGTTTTTCAATCTAAAACGGAAGTAGTTGAGAACACATGTGAGGGAGCTGATGTGGAGCTGTGTTGATAATATAGAAGCAATGAAATACTTGGATTTACGTTGTTGTGGTGAGCTATTCTAAAGGATTTAAATCTGAAGTGAAACCGACACATTCCTGTAACGAGCGGTAGGTAAAATAGATAGCTGAGACGTGCACCATTGAACTACCGGTTTATTTATTTATGTAAATTAGACGTGTTTACTGCGGACGTTTACGTATGTTAACCGACAAGCTAAGGTTCTTTATTGTATCAGGCGTCGTCTGTCGGTGACGTTAATCATAGTTTCATTGTGTCTGGGTATAAAGGTATAATTGAGACATTGTCAAACTAGTCTATTACTCACAAGAGTAAATACTCGGGTACCCACTATCATACCAGGCGTTATATGTCGGTTGTCTGTAAAAGATAAAACTAATAGATCGAGTTGTTTCACTATATGTTAATTGTGACTTGGTGTTTACCCGGCGTACTTGTAAAGAGATCTACCCGATCGTGTACGTTCAACACTTACATAACAATGGACAGATCTAGCACGGGTATCGTATGCTATAAAAACAATCGTTTGTCTCACGCGAGAACTAAGACACAGTGTATTTTGGAATCTCGACATCCAAAGGATTTAGATCAACGCAACGGTCTTGGTTTTCAGATCTCTTTATTTAGTACCCCATGGTTGTTGTGCTGACGCAGTAAAAGGGGGATTTACTTTATTTGTATAGCTTACGCAATGGGTTCCTTCTACACTTGAGGTGTTCATGGAGTAAATATCTTTAGTAATGGGTCAGATAGCAGGGTCTGACTGCTCTGGTGGTCACAGGAACTAACGTGCGTAAGTAAGCTGGAAATACCCAGCCAATACAATAGCCCCTGTCCTATTGAGAAGTAAAATCAGTTGACCCCCATTAATGCAGACCCCCGTTACGTTAGACACCTCTTTAATCTGTACGTCATACTAGGCACCCGGCGCCCCTTCCTCCTTACTCCGTAACAATCGCCAAATGACCAATTCTGATAAATAGTCGGTAAATAGCTCATTAGAGCTGATGTTATATGTTACAAATTGTCCGACTCTAAATAAATAGTATTTGATTTGATCTCTTCTTTCTTCTTCTTCTTCTTCTTCTTCTTCTTCTTCTTCTTCGTCCATTTACTGCGGCAGATCTCATAGATCTGATGGGCACCAGCAGAAATTGTGAATATTTTAATATATTCTACTATATTTCACGAGGGGGACTGATAATGCTAATGATATATAAACACTGCAAGGTTTGGTATTGTTATGCTACCAATGTTAGAACAGAAGAGAGATGTATTTAATGCTTCGGAAAATTACTTATTTTCGATTATCAGTTGTCGTTATTGCGACCTCACAATTGAAAAGATTTTTAAAAAACTGAAAAAACACCATTAAATTGAGAAAATTCTAAATTATCATGTCCATTGCACAGTAAGTGAGATTTGAGCGACAAAGCAGTTCCTTGAGTTACGTAAGTTATACTGCTTCACACACAACCCCTACACATTATCATGATCACCGAGCGAGGATTAAGTTGCCAGACAGGATGTACACATCTTAAAAGCGTTAAATATTTAAACTATGTATAGCTCTACCCCGACCTGGAATGCCGGCCTAAAGAGCAGTGGTTTTATAGACGACAGTGGTGTAGTATTTGTGTTTACGACAGCTGTTGTTGTGATCAGGGTCGGGTGTTACACAGAGGAGGGATCTCTCGTAAGGATATACGTATCGAGGTTTAGAGGATATTTATGTCTCGTTATAAAAAAACTCAACCCACCCGTCAATAACTGATCGCCAACATCTAGTGAGTCACTTAGGCCTAAAATGACTGTAGATGTACCTCAGGCCAAACCAATTAAAATTATGGTTTCTTCCTGTGTTGGGCTCTCGTATGTATTGTACTAAAACAGACAAGTAAAAGCTTTTATTTTGTGATAAAAGTCTCAATACCTTATTTAGTGCTAAGAATGAGTTAAGTGGGGGTAGTGTGTAGACAACGCTGCTTCGATCAGAGCGACCTACGGTGAGACCATCTTAAAATACTGACATACAAACCAGTTAATTCCGAAAGTTCCATTTATGGTAATATATTACTATAACAATAGAGGGAGAGAGTGTTTTATATTTTACGATAATGGTTTAAAAGAAGCCAACATATAAATAGTAGGCACTCGACAGATAAGGCCACGGGGAACGCGGAAATACATTGGTCTGGCCTTACATTGAAATGTAAACATCAGATCATTGGTGATTATAAACCCCTGTCCACCCGAGCCTTCCATAACCCGCCACAATCTCCTGTCGCCAATACTCTCTTATATTATGTCCAAAAGTAAACTCCGACTAGAATATTTTAAATTCTATAATTTATGGTACAATGTTATAAGATCAGGTAAAGGGTTTAACGGGCTCCGGCAAAGTGCACGTAGAGTTAAAGTCCTATACCTGGTGCGGTCACAGGGGCTCATAAAATTTCACTTATCATGTGTAGAAATGCATGCTAGTAGTTTTTCTCTCTTAAATATTATCATTGTTCACCCATAAGCTCTAAAGGGGTACATTTTACGTACATGTCGAAGGCATTTGGGGAGGGTGATGTGAACGTGGTTGAGCTATACCCTCCCCCCAACCCCTTTAACTTCCTCCCTGTCCCCACAGACCGACTTTATCGTAAGGAGGCAAATACAACAACACACCGCCACATGAAGTAATATCCTTACGTCTTCTAAGATGTTAATAGGATGCTAAACGCCACAAACCAAACCAAACCTCTAGATGTTCCTCTATAACTGTCATCTATATCTAGGTAAGAAATCCCAAGGTGAAGTCTGTATTCATTTTCCACATTATAATGATCTTACATGCATTAGCCATAAGGCTGAATAATATATCAATCTTCTGTCAAGTTGACTGCATGCATAATGCAACGGATTTTTTTAAACATTTGAACGTTAACATAATTGAATATGAAACACAATTTATTTTACGCGTGTGAAAACGGTTTAAATTCTGTTTACGACACATGACTGTTCATATATAGTAGATAGGTAGATGGCACATATATGTTATATACACTGTATCCAACTAGTGCTATACATGTACTCACGGTCTACTGGCATGGTGTGCTTTACACTGCGTCGACCCAGGGTAATGGTATCTAACAATACAGATGCACGCGATTATCAGCGGTTAGAAGTGTTTAAATACATGGAAGTATTCAAAGGCGTACAGTCGGGTGTAGTGATACAACTGTGCATGACTTCCTGTAGATACATTTGTTCGGGTTTACACAGTATATAAAGGCATGAGATGTTATCGTTTGTTAATATGACCGGGCTTGGTAGGGGTGATTGTCAAAGATTTCAAAGACTTTTATTCGTATACTTTTAGAAAAAGATAAATCACTGCTCCAGGCACGTTTCTCTACTTCAAGGAAGTTCAGAGATCTCCGCTCCAGGAACGTTTCTCTGCTTATAAGAGACGTTTGTGATCCACGTCTCCTTTCAGAGAACTCCGCTCCAGGAACGTTTCTCTGCTTATAAGAAACGTCTCCTTTCAGAGAACTCCGCTCCAGGAACGTTTCTCTGCTTATAAGAAACGCCTGTGATCCACGTCTCCTTTCAGAGATATCCACTCCAGGAACGTTTCTCTGCTTATAAGAAACGTCTGTGATCCGCGTCTCCTTTCAGAGATATTCATTACAGGAACGTTTCTCTGCGTCTGTACTAGGAAAGTCTCCGAATGCATCGGTCCCAGAAAAAACGTCTAATCATCTACACTTACTCATTTCTCCATAATATCAAGTCATGCTCCTCTGTCAGCGATTTTACATTACTACTCATGATAGGTCATCAGCTTTAGTACTAGTGTCTCCTCGAAGGTGTCGCCCGGTCTCCTTATGATAATAGGACTTCACTAGACAATCACAAGACGTTAAGTAGAGGGACAGATAACACCGGGACGCTTGTCAACAATCAATCACGAATTTAAATATTGCCACACTAACACCCCCGCCTGTATGGTTAGATCACAGTGCCCTCAGTGACCCCGACACGAGGAAACATGACGTCACGTTTGGGAGCTTCCGTAAATATTTGTATACAGCGTGCTTATGAAGCGTGATGAAGGCGAAGTCCTCATGGGGTCACCGACCCGTGTGATGGCCGGAGCTAACGTGTGAATAATTTATCACAGATGTCATACAGCTGGGTTTTTATATCAGCGGAGGTTTCGGTGCTGGAATATTATTAAATGATGTCGCCTGCCACCGGATCTGGGGTTCCCGGACATCAAATACAGTAAAACTAGGCATTGAGTACCCCGTCTCTCATTTGAACCCCACCCCACCCCGATACATCTGGCCATGGAGTCACAAAACTTTGAGTACGTTCTCTGTTCTTAAACATAAATTAAATTACAAAGTATTCATGAATCAATCTGGAGAAACCAGCCCTTGACTTTAAGCATGACAGAATTACTAGAGAAACTAAACGAAGAACAGAAAAAATATATACCTAACGTATGAAATTTGAGAATAGTTTGTCAAGACAGTTCCTAAGTCAAGAAGATACGACCCCTGGGGTTAGACTCCAGAACTGAGGGTCGATGGTGAAGATGAACGCCATCTTGCATATTGCACTTTATTATGAACCATGTGAGATGCAATTGTATAACCTATATGCTGTATTGCAATTGGTAAATAAAAAACTTGAACTTGAACATACTTGATGCGCATGTCGTGTGCTGTAGTCCATTTTTATTCTGTTCTTTACCATATCCATCACAATATTTATGAGTATTTAGTTTAGGTATTAATTTTGTTTACGAGCTTTTTTGCAGTAAAACGAGACTTAATTTTCAGGAATATTAATGATTTCAAAGAACAATTGTAGTATAGAGTGTAACTCCTCTGTAAAAAAACTTGTTTTGAATATAAATAAATTGATATTAGGTTACAGTCTGTTGCCCAATAATCTATAAATATTAAAAAAATATTCAGAGTACGAAGATAATATATCATCCAAGACTGGTTTAGAAAGAGAAATATGTATTTTTATTTCAAAATGAAGATTTGTCCGGTTGTGGATGCTAACTTTCCGTCTGCAG